CAGTAGACTTTGACCAATTCAAATGTCCCTATCAGGGGCGGACTGTCAACTCATGGGGCCCCCGGGCAATAGGGGATCATGGGGCCCCTGTGTCCTCACCCACAGTTAAACCACACCCAAAAAAGCCCATGAAAGGTACCAGGGGCATCTCATGGGTCCCCCTACTGACCCACGGGCCCTCAGGCAGTGCCCGAGTTCCCAAATGGTCAGTCTGCCCCTGGTCCCTATGTCCTCCTAGATTGTAAGCTCCAAGGAGCAGGGCCCTCCTTTCCCTCTTGTATTGAACTGTATTGTCTCCCGTTATATTGTAAAGCGCTGAGCAAACTGTTGGCGCTATATAAATCCTGTATAATAATAATATTAATAATATTACATACAACAGTGCACTGAAATGCAGTACTTATATAACATTCTCCAAACTCATCTAATCCCTCTAGTGGAGAACATGAAAAATATTTTAACAAGGCAGGTTTACGTGGAAATTACTTACAAGTCACATCACACTGTAATGCATTTTTTTCCAGCTTCATCTATTTGCGTAGTTACTGGAGGGGGTGAAACACATTTTAATCTAAGTGCTATAAAATTCCTTCTATAGTACTGTTATAAAATGCAAGTAAAATGCTAAAAATACTCCACTGAATCAAGAATAAGGTTTATCATTTATTTTATACCACTATCATTTTGCAGTAATCTTTATGTAAAGGAGACACTTAAGTGAATTATGTATGTCTATTGTAGCTAAAGGGACATGCCACTCCATACAATTCCTCTCTTTAAGCCTTGTTAATAGCCACAACCTCTGCATTTGGCCCTGTTTGGGTGGCTGGCGAGGGAGAGAAGTCAGCTAATAACCCCTTGGGCAGCTCTTGCATTTATAAATGAAGGCAGGTGTGGGGAGATTAGGACTGGAGAAGGGCATATTGATTGTTCTGAATACTTTGGCGACAGAACAGTAAACAGCTATTGTAGGCATTAATAATATGTGCTATTAGATGTCATTGGCTGTGTGTAGGATGCTGAACCATTATACTTGCTAGTCCTGTCATTTTCCCCATTATTTCCCCATTGCTGGCACTGCAATAATGTGGGTTTCTGAAATCTTCTTTCCTGTCCCACAAAAAGCTGGTGCTCCACTGAGTTGGTTCTTGTTTTAGCCACCACACCCTGGTGTCTGAGACTCCTATTTTATTTTTATTTATTTCTTTCAGGTACTTATATAGCGCCGTCAATTTGCGCAGGGCTTTACATATATACCGTACATTCACATCAGTTCCTAACCTTCAAGGGGCGTACAATCTAACTTACATTCATACATACACATACTAGGGCCAATTTATACAGGATCCAATTAACCTACCAGCATGTCTTTGGAGTGTGGGAGGAAACCGGAGTATCCGGAGGAAACCCACGCAGGCACAGGGAGAACATGCAAACTCCAGGCAGGTGGTGCCATGGTTGTAATTCGAACCAATGACCCTAGTACTGCCAGGAGGAAGTGCTAAACATTTAGCCACTGTGCTGCCCATTCTCCGAGGCTATAATTATTCAGGGATAGGCAACCCTATAGAGATGGAGATCTACCTGACCAATATGGAAGAGATCAAAGATTACCATGGTCCAGCATGCTTTTTAAAGATAACCTAGGAAGGTTCTAAGAATCCAGGGGCCAGTAGTATGTAACGCAGAGCTCTGGAGTCAGTAGTATGTAACATAAAGTGCAGAGCTCAGTTGCATGTAACACACAGGGCAGAGGTCAGTAATATATACGGCAGAGTGCAGGAGTCAGAAGTAACACACAGTTCAGGGGCCAGTAGTTCATAATGCCATGTGCAGGGGTCAGGAGTAAGTAATGCAGAGTGCAGGGGTCAGGAGTAAGTAATGCAGAGTGCAGGGGTCAGGAGTAAGTAATGCAGAGTGCAGGGGTCAGGAGTAAGTAATGCAGAGTGCAGGGGTCAGGAGTAAGTAATGCAGAGTGCAGGGGTCAGGAGTAAGTAAAGCAAAGGACAGAGGTCAATAGTATACACTGCGGGGTTCAGAAGTCAGTAGATTGTAATGCACAGTGCAGGGGTCAGAAGTAACGATGATTGCAGGGGTCAAATGTATATAATGCAGAGTTTAGAAGTAAAACAAAGTGCAGGGGTTAGTAGCAAGTAACACAGAGCTTAGAGGTCAGTGATATTTTGTAGTGTAAGGGCCAGTAAAATGTAATGCAAAGTGCAGACGTCAGTAGTAACGCACAATGCAGAGATAAGTAATGTATAACACACAGTGCAGAGGTCAGGGGTAAAATACACAGATTCCCCTCCCACAAGCAAAAATACTCTCCTTCCAGTACAAACATCTTCTCCGGAGCTAGAATCAGGTCTTGCCAGACATCCTTCAGCCTACTGCAGCTCTGATCTGAGGTCTGAGAGACAGAATGACCACTATGGTCACAATCAACAGCTAGATCGCAGTTACCTTGTTGCCAGTCCTCTTCTTGGGAGTCTTAGCAAAGCCCACGGAGCCCCACCAAGTATATGTGCATGAATGCTGATTCTCTCTGCTTTTTTGTCTCTGCAGATATAATTCAGTGTCAAACACACAGACGCACACAAGCATGCAGCATGTGTGTGCATAGGTTAATCAGTAACACAAACTATTTGTTTTGAAGCAACAGTAAAAGTACAAAACAGTACAAAACATAATCTTTGTGTACTGTGTATACAGATACAATGATATAAACCTCAAGCAAATTACGAGAAGGAGACATTACTAGACATGACAGCATACACCCCAGCCATGACTTTATCCCATTTCTCCCTCCCTAAGCCCTCTTCCTTTGAATACCCAAATCCACCCTTGTAGCACCCGTGTTAATTATACATTTCCTCATCTTTAAAGTTACACTCAAAAGTAATTCTGGTTTCCACATATCTAATGCCATAATGCAGGGGCGGACTGACAACTTATTGGGCCCCTGGGCAATAGGGGATCATGGGGCCCCGGTGTCCTTGCCCACACTCAAAAAATCCTATAAAAAAGGTACCAGGGGCATTTCATGGGGCCCCCTACTGACCCCGGGCCCTCGGGCAGTGCCCAAGTGCTCGAATAGTCAGTCCGCCCCTGCCACAATGTATCCCTTCTCAGGCCACACTAATGCCTTTGTGTGAAAACTACTGTATGCTGAGATCTGTATTAGTTTTTGCAATTCTTCCCTAAGTTGTTTTCGGAATTGTGCTGTTTTTTTTTTTTTTTGTCGTAAGCTGCATTTGCCATTTATGTTATTTTGAATTAAACCAAAAATAAAAATGTAACATATTGTAGCTTACCAAGCCCTAGATGTGTTGGTTGCATTAGTTTCCCTCTCTTAGACTTCTTTTTCCTTTATTTTCACCTGATGATCAGAACAGTAACATACTTTCAGTCTTAGGGTGTCTCCAGTCTGGATGGAGGAGCAAAGGAGACACCTTTGGACAGCAGCATTGTCAGTCTGGGGAGAGTAGTGCTAGATGGACCAATAAATTCAAGCCTGGCACACAAAAACTGGAAATCAAAAAGGGACATGCAATCTGGTGGGGGGAAGGGGGCAACGTCGACAACTCTCTGTAAATTTTATGAACAGTTTGTAGTGCAGGAACTACTTTTCAAATTGGGTGAGACTTGAACTGACAAATCGCATCAGTGTGAACAGGGGCTAAATGTCCGTTGAGATCACTGTGGACTCTGATGTAAGGAGGTGCTCTGGTGACCAGAGACCACCTTACATCATAGTTCCCCTTTATATTAAGGTCTGCAGAGTTCCTCCTTACACTGTAAGGGTGAACCCTGCGGACTGTGATGTACGAGAGAACGTTGTGGACTGTGATGTAAAAGGGAACTCTGGAGTCTGATGTAAGGGGGAACTCTGTGGATTGTGATGTAAAAGGGAGCTCTCGTGTAAGGGGGGGGGGAGGAATCTGGGGGCTTTACACTAGAGTCTGCAGCATAGCCCCTTACATCAGACTTGACAGGAGGAGGAACACTGTGCTGGATAATATTAACCTGGCCTTCATGTAAAAGGAGGAACATGTTTTTTGCCTTTTGTTAAACCTTAAGCCAGCCTTTCTAAGATTTTCATTGTGCACATTACGACCTACTAGCCGCCGGTATCCTGACAACCAATGACATTATCAGTCGATAAGGAGGATGTCTGCCGCCTGCACAGCATCCTAATTTGACCCTCTACATCAGTGCTGGAGTCACATTAGCTCAGTGATGGAGAAAAACTGTGGGGGAAGAGAAACCTTGGAATATTAGTCAGTACCAGTGTGCAAAAGTGTATTTGCTTTGGAAGAAAAAATCACCTCTAATGTTGGATGTCATCCATGTTGCTGCATTATAAAAAACTACTAGAATAGTTTTTCATATTTTAAAATGGGTGCCTCGGAACTGTCATCATTTTAAAGGGTGCCTCGGGAACTGTCCATAATTTTAAAGGGTGCCTCGGGACTGTCCATAATTTTAAAGGGTGCCTCGGGACTGTCCATAATTTTAAAGGGTGCCTCGGGACTGTCCATAATTTTAAAGGGTGCCTCGGGACTGTCCATAATTTTAAAGGGTGCCTCGGGACTATTTTAAAGGGTGCCTCGGGACTGTCCATAATTTTAAAGGGTGCCTCGGGACTGTCCATCGGGACTGTCCATTTTTAAAGGGTGCCTCAGGACTGTCGTAATTTTAAAGGGTGCCTCGGACTGTCCATAATTTTAAAGGGTGCCTCGGGACTGTCTAATTTTAAAGGGTGCCTCGGGACTGTCCATAATTTTAAAGGGTTTCATAATTTTAAAGGGTGCCTCGGGACTGTCCATAATTTTAAAAGGTGCCTCGGAACTGTCCATAATTTTAAAGGGTGCCTCGGGACTGTGCCTCGGGACTGTCCATAATTTTAAAGGTGCCTGGAACTGTCCATCGGGTGCCTCGGGACTGTCCATAATTTTAAAGGGTGCCTCGGGACTAATAATTTTAAAGGGTGCCTCGGGACTGTCATAATTTTAAAGGGTGCCTCGGGACTGTCCATAATTTTAAAGGGTGCCTCGCCTCGGGACTGTCCATAATTTTAAAGGTGCCTCGGAACTGTCCATAATTTTAAAGGGTGCCTCGGGACTGTCCATAATTTTAAAGGGTGCCTCGGGACTGTCCATAATTTTAAAGGGTGCCTCGGGACTGTCCATAATTTTAAAGGGTGCCTCGGGACTGTCCATAATTTTAAAGGGTGCCTCGGGACTGTCCATAATTTTAAAGGGTGCCTCGGGACTGTCCATAATTTTAAAGGGTGCCTCGGGACTGTCCATAATTTTAAAGGGTGCTCGGGACTCCATAATTTTAAAGGGTGCCTCGGGACTGTCCATAATTTTAAAGGGTGCCTCGGGACTGTCCATAATTTTAAAGGGTGCCTCGGGACTGTCCATAATTTTAAAGGGTGCCTGCCTCGGACTGTCCATAATTTTAAAAGGTGCCTCGGGACTGTCCATAATTTTAAAGGGTGCCTCGGGACTGTCCATAATTTTAAAGGGTGCCTCGGGACTGTCCATAATTTTAAAGGGTGCCTTGACTGAAAAAAGGTTCAGAAACACTGTCTTAAGAACATTACAAATAACACTAGCTACATGTTTGATTTTTATATTTACACTAAAAATGGTAATTTTGGCTAACTGAACTGTCAGTAAAAACCTGTCTCTGTCAATAAATGTTTTGTGTTGTGTCAGCAAATTTCACTTCGGGATGTTGGCCAACCTGAAAGGAGGTGACAGAGCCTCTCCTCTGTCAGTATTCAATAGAACAGCAGAGGAGATTGCCGCAGCAACATCTCTTGTGTTGGTACAGGGATCTGTCAGGTTTTTTTAACCTGCTGGTTGAACAAAAAAAAACATATCAGTGAGTACCCAGTTTTAGATGGACTTTACATACGTAACCAAGAAATTAAAATGGTACCAAACCAGGGGTGGTCTGACAACTCATGGGGCCCCTGGGCAATAGGGGATCATGGAGCCCCTGTGTCTTTGCCTACACTCAAAGCACACCCAAAAAGCCTATAAAAGTTGCCAGGGGCATTTCATGTGGCCCCCTACTGACCCCGGGCAATGCCCGAGTGCTCGAATGGTGAGTCCGCCCCTGTAGCAAACCCATTGACTTACCCGTTTAAAAAAATGGTTACATTCCCATCACATGCCAGGAATGCTGTCATGTTTGCTTGTGTCCCAACCAAACTGTCAAATCATCCAATGGCTGACGTCCTAACTGATCACATGTACAGGACCATGGCGGCTGAAGACCAACATCCTTGGCTGAAAAGGATAGGAGGATTTAGTTCCACTTTAAAACCAACTCCAGCTAACACTTTGTAGGCAGTAACAGAAGAGAAAGTGCATGTGAGGAGGTTTAGGCTCCATTCACACCAATGCGTTTTTTTTTTTTTTTTTTTTTTGCAGAAAAGCACTACAGTCCATTTAACATGGTTTCCTATGGAACTTGTTCACATCTATGCTTTTTTGAGCTGCTGTTTTTTGGAAAGGGTCAGGGACTTTTTTAGTCCTCATGCACCCTGGACGTTTTTACAGCGGCTGTTTTTGGCTTTTGACGTCTTTTCTCTACAGCCAGTAAACTCCCCAGCATGTTATCCTATGTGTCCATGCACACATAGACTGTAATCAATGTTTTTTGGCTGGAAAAAAAAAACAGAACTAGTGGGTTTCTATAGGAGTTTTTAGCTGTACAAAAGTGGCAAAATGGCGTTTTTGGACTTTTTTTGGTTAAAAATAACACTAAAAAACGCAAATACAAAAAAACGCTGCTAAACACTAATGCAAAAATACTAAAGTACGCTGAAAAACTCCCATTTTTAATGTGACTGTACACAGCAAAGTTTACCAGCGTTATTAAAACACCCCGTGTGCATGGAGCCTGAAAAGCTAAAAAGCAGCACTTTGCTACAATAGAGTTCAATGGAGAATCTGCTGAAATGCGTGGTAGTGTGTTTTTATGGCGTTTTGCTTTTTGCATTTTTATTCTACCCAGCAACAAAAAAAAAAAAAAAAAAAATCCACTTTCACAATCAAAAAGGGCTGAACAAAACGCGGGAATAATGCATGTAGAAAAAATGCAAAACTAACTACAAAAAGCCCTGCAAAACGGAAGAAAAGACACAAACTGCATAGGTGTGAAGGGAGCATAATGCAGGCCATACATGGGTCAAGTTCCGAATGATTTTTCGTCCGAAAATCGAAAACGTTCGCTCGGTAATCCGATGGTGCTATCAGATTTAAAAAATCGTCTGAACGAGTCATAAAGTTCACCCCATATAACAGGCGGAACTTCTGTTCCTTCCAGGTCATGGCTCATGCGCATATTCTTTTCAGAAAAACGATCGTACGATTTGACCACCATTGAGTCGAAAATTGGAAGTTTTTCACAAATTTTCCAACATGCCTAATCACTGAAAAGGGAAGGAACCACGAAAATCAGCCACTGACCCACTAACAGAGCGAAAATCGGCCGATTATTCTTAGGTCTGATTTTTGGACGAAAAATCAGTCCAATTTTGACCCATGTATGGCATTAATCAAAGTACGAGATCACGCCTGTGATGGTGACCACAGACAGCCCGACCGCTCTTTAACCTCTTCCTGCCCAAGGTATACATGTACGCTGCACAGGAGATGGTAGGAAATGGAAAGCCCCCAGTGCATACCTTCCATCGCAAGCTTTCCAATCATGTGACTGTCAAACACAGCGGTCACATGATCAGAATGCCCGCCTCCTGGCATTTAGACCCTGCTGTAGTGCCACCACTTCCTGTTGTGTCACTAAGACAGGAAGTGAGAGAAATCTCTCCAATGGGTCACAGCAAGAATAAAAACCTGCCAGGGCCTCCTGCCCTCCAAGGTTCAGGTCTGTACACGGCTCTCCGGATGTACGGTACACCCCAGGGGGCCCTATAGAAGAGCCGGGCCCCTGCACTGGCAGGCTTGTTTGGTGTGATAACAATCCCTGACACAGATAACCGGGGGGAGGGGCGGTGTGTACACTCCATGATACAATATGTGCTCCAAACCCGGCACACCGCAATGAGGACAATGAGGACTGGGGGTGTCCATCCTCCCCGGTGACAGCGCCATCGTACGGGATCATCCCCACCACCACACACTGCGGACAGCTCCAGGAGCCCCGACCCTCACAGTTGCCTCCAGCCTGGCCGGGCGCGCTGCATGCCGGGAGTTGTAGTCCTCCCCCCGCCTCCGACCCGCCGCCTCCACAGGAGGGAACTACAATCCCAGCAGGCAGTGCGGCCCGGGGCTCAGCCGCCTCTGCTGTCACAGCGATGGAAGTGGGAAGGGAAATGCGGCTGTGAGGAGGAAACGTACCGGGAATACACGGCTCCCCCCTCCTCCTCCCCCCGGACGGTGAGTCCTCGCCATATTCTACTACTGTCTATACCCTGTGTACTATGGAGGGGGGGTGACAGACACTGACCGGGGACTGCCAGATCACTGAGACACCTTCCACACCACCCCCACTGACACCTTCCATACCGCTCATATCACCGCTGACACCTTGCACACCACCACTGACACGTTCCATACAGCTCATATCACCGCTGACACCTTCCATACAGCTCATATCACCGCTGACACCTTCCATACAGCTCATATCACCGCTGACACCTTCCATACAGCTCATATCACCCCTGACACCTTGCACACCACCACTGACACCTTCCATACAGCTCATATCACCGCTGACACCATCCACACCACCACTGACACCTTCCATACCGCACATGTCACTGACTGACACCTAACACACAGCTCATATCACCGCTGACACCTTCCATACCACTCATATCACCGCTGACACCTTCCACATGGCTCATATCACCACTGACACCTTCCATACCGCACGTGTCACTGAGTGACACCTTCCACACCGCTCATATCACTGAGTGACACCTTCCACACCGCTCATATCACCGCTGACACCTTCCACAAGGTTCATACCCCCACTGACACCTTTCACACCGCTCACATCACCACTGACACCTTCCATACCGCACATGTCACTGACTGACACCTTCCACACCGCTCATACCATTGCTGACACCTTCCATACCGCATATGTCACTGACTGACACCTTCCACACTGCCCATACCACCACTGACACCTTCACACTGCTCATACGATTGTTGACACCTTCCATACCGCACATGTGACTGACTGACACCTTCCACACCGCTCATACCACCGCTGACACCTTCCATACCGCATGTGTCACTAACTGACACCTTCCACGCTACTCATACCACCACTGACACTTTCCACGCTGCTCGTACCACCACTGACACTTTCCACGCTGCTCGTACCACCACTGCCACCTTCCACATCGGTCGTACCACCACTGACTCCTTCCACGCTGCTCGTACCACCACTGACACCTTCCACACCGCTCATATCACCACTGACACCTTCCCCACCTTCTGCTCCCCTCAGGGGGTGGCTACCCCAATGTCAGGAGGAATTTGTCACCAGCTGTATAGCAGAGTTCGGTCTCTTCACCTGGGAGGTTGTCCAGTTAATATCCCAACCCTGAGATGTAAAGGAAGCCTGCAGTACTAGAAGTATCCCTCTCCTATGAGCAGATTTCTATGGTGTTGCAGAGTCTGTGTACATGGATGTCTATATATAGTCTGTCCGTCCATCTGTACACCCATCCAGAGCCCCTGTAGACACCCATCCATCCATCTGTACACCCAGAGCCCCTGTAGACACCCGTCCGTCCATCTGTACACCCATCCAGAGCCCCTTGTAGACACCCATCCATCCATCTGTACACCCATCCAGAGCCCCTGTAGACACCCATCCATCCATCTGTACACCCGTCCAGAGCCCCTGTAGACACCCGTCCATCTGTACACCCATCCCCTGTACACCCATCCAGAGCCCTTGTAGACACCCACCACCAGTCCGTCCATCCCATCCATACACCCATCCAGAGCCCCATCCAGAGCCCTGTAGACACCCATCTGTACACCCATCCAGAGCCCCTGTAGACCATCCATCCATCCATCTGTACACCTGTCCAGAGCCCCTATAGACACCCGTCCATCCATCTGTACACCCATCCAAAGCCCCTGTAGACACCTATCCATCCATCTGTATACCCATCCAGAGCCCCTGTAGACACCCGTCCGTCCATCTGTACACCCATCCAGAGCCCCTGTAGACACCCGTCTGTCCATCTGTACACCCATCCAGAGCCCCTGTAGACACCCATCTGTCCATCTGTACACCCATCCAAAGCCCCTGTAGACACCCGTCCGTCCATCTTTACACCCATCCAGAGCCCTTGTAGACACCCGTCCATCCATCTGTACACCCATCCAGAGCCCCTGTAGACACCCGTCCGTCCATCTGTGCACCCATCCAGAGCCCCTGTAGACACCCGTCCGTCCATCTGTACACCCATCCAGAGCCCCAGTAGACACCCATCTGTCCATCTGTACACCCATCCAGAGCCCCTGTAGACACCCATCCGTCCATCCGTACACCCATCCAGAGACCCTGTAGACACCCATCCGTCCATCTGTACACCCATCCAGAGCCCCTGTAGACACCCATCCGTACATCTGTACACCCATCCAGAGCCCCTGTAGACACTCGTCCATCCATCTGT